AAAGTTTTTGGTTGTTTACCCGAAGGCGAAGGACATATTGGTTTTACGTTCGTCGCTTTAGGTTCACTATATATGCTTGTAAGAATAATGAAGAAACTTTTTATTGTTAACGACGCCTATACATTTTCTATTCACTACATTGCGTCTTTATTTTTGCAACATTCAAAATACTATCAAGAAGTTGACTCTCAAGGCTCTAAAGGTAGGTTATATAAACAACCAGATTTGTGTTACGCTTTTTGGCTTACCGGCTCCCAAATTTTATCGGCTTTATTGCTAAACAGCAACGTCCCTCAATGTTTAATTCCAACTGTTTTAAACACTGATTGTATTAAATTTATTACAGATTGTTACAATAATAGTGATAACGGTTTTTCAAAATATACCGCGAATTCAACATTTTCACTATTTGATTTTGACAACCAAAATCATTCCGACATTTTTCATACACATTTCGGTCTGCTTACTGTGAATCTTTTTGCCAGTTCGCTAATTTTTTCACGCAATTACAAAACTCACGTTCACAGTTATACAAAAAAATTACACTTTAAAGTACGCAATAATTCCGTCTATTCATTTACACGATGGTTATACGTTTTTTTCAAAGGTCGAATGACATTTACAGATTCAAATGCTTCTTTTGAAGAGACAGTTCAAAATGAAATCAATTTATTTAAGAGATCAATAAAACTATTAACAGAAAGATTACCTATTTTGCTGGCGACGCGTTCTGCTCAAAGCGATTATAAATTTGATTTTATTCGCACTCTTCACGAATATATCTCGAATATTTATTTTGAAAACACTTCTGTTCCAGGATCAAGTTTCGATTTTCAAAGTAGCTTTACGAATATCTTAGATTTTTATTTGAATACAAAAGAGAAATTCATTGAAACTATTTTTAGTTATAATAAAAATACACAGCAAAATTTATGCTACATTTTATTGAAAATAATTGATTTTTTATGTCAAGAAATTACCGAAACGACAGTAAATAGTAACAAGTCAAAAGCGTGCAAGAAAAATATTACTTCTATTTATACTCGTTTACAGTTGCTTAAATGTAAAGACTTGCAGAAAACCGATATTGTTAGACTTTTGTGTCAATTACGAAATGTTTTAATGTATTGTCTAATTAACATAGATTACGTTATGATTTTGGTATTATATTGTTCGTTGCACGGAGAAATGATAAATGAATCCGATATTGCTTGGGACCTTGTAACTGATACCAAAAAAATTCATAAGAATCTAATATTTCAAACTATAGATGTGATCGTTAAACGTGAGATCTCAGATCAGCGTATTTGTAATATTCTAGAAAAAACCAGCAATTATAATGATATGATAAAACTTTTAAAAGTCTGCCACGATTTTTTGTTTCGACTAGTCATGATTGAACTATTTGAAAGCAAATTGTATTTACATGGAATTGATGATGAAATCAATAATTACTTGTTTCATAAATGGATAGAATTAATCGTCACTATCGCCCGAAATGTCCAGATAAAGGAAGTTGAATCGCCGATTTACATTTTGAATAATTCATTAATGCGTTATACAACTATGACAAATAAAATATCTTTTTTGAAACAAAATTTGATATCAGCTTTCGAAGATTGCTGCTCATGCTATGTGGACGTAATATCTATGTTTTTGTATGAAAAAAATCAAACTATCGAAAATACTATAGTTTAACTTTTACTTAATTATTAACTAATAAATAAATTCAGATAATCTTTTGTTAAATACCATTTATATTCGTGAGCATATTTACTGATTATTCGTAAAAATTGATTGATCGAATTGGCAGACTGAGTTTTTTTTGAAAATAAACCTCCGCACTTACAATATTTTTGTGTAATATAGTTTTTGCGCTGGTTACATAAATCACAAGTTGGCTGTGTTATTACATGATAGGTGAAAATATGACTTTTGATCATGTCAATGATTTTTTCTTGTAAATATTCAGTCATTATTTCTTTGGAACAGTATGGACAATCAACAATGTCGTCAATGATGTAGATGTCAAATATTTTTGTGCAGTGAACACAAACAACAGATTTTAGAATAATGATGGGAACACTTGTGAGTGACAAATCGTCAAAAGAAACAGGAAAGTACATGCCAAGTTGTTGTTGTTCGAACGTGTCGATTTTAGCGAATTTAAGCAAAAGTTTCAAGACTTTAAACGGAACTTCAATTCTATTTATGTTTTCATAAACAGGAATTTCTGAATCGATAGAAATCATTTGAGAAAGATAGTGAAGTATCTTGCACATATTTTCGATGAATATTTCTTTATGTTTCTGGGTCATACCAATTGCGTTTTTAGATGACACCTCGTCTTTTTCATGGCCAATGGAATACCTAGTCAGTAAGCAGGAAATGATGAGTTTCTCAAAGGTAGCGGCTTCGTGCATAAGATTAAGACATGGTAAAGCGATATCGACAACTTGGTTGCTGTTGTCAAGAAAAATACGATTGAATTGATTGAAAATCACGCCGCATTTGATGTGGTAAACTAACGGATTGAATAATTCTTTAAACTTCATTTTCGATGACAGTAGCGAATATATGGAAGATGCAGATTTTTTCGCTAAGCTGTAAGATTCTGTTGGAATGGAAATCAAAATGCAAGTGTTAGACATATATATTAGCTGTAGATCTGCGTTAATTTCTTTTGAAATGTCGACTATGCATTGCTTGAGCTTATTTTGAAACAGTCTCAGTAAAACCGATTTGACCTGATCAAGAATTTCAGCGTTCTGTGGATTTTCTAAAAGTTCTCTTATAAGTAAGTGCCCGTTGCGTTTGTTGACAAGTGTTGAAATGAAGTGGATTAGCGACGACGCATACTGAATGTTATTGTTGAAAAAAGAATTTTCCGTGGTCGTTTGCGTATCCTTTTGTAAGTAAGTTTGCGTGGCAAGTTTTTTGATGTTCGTAGAATAGTATTTCGTTAAGTGATCAATTAGTTTAATTACTATAAGTATCGAGTGTAAAAAAAAATCCAATTTTAAAATTTGGCCACAATAAATTCCTGGCACGTAGTAATCATGAACTAGGTCGGGCATTATGTCCAAACCTCCGAGTAACGAGTAGTCTGAAATGAAATCTTTTGACATAGTCATTTCCCTGTAGTAGCCGTGAGTTTGTTTGTAATATTTGATTCGTTGTTCAATATACGTACTTGTTAAATAGTCAACCAGTTTAGAGTTATTTAAACAATTTATATCAGTGATTAGTTCACATGCTTCCTTCAATTTCAGCGTTTGTGACAGTCCTGTTGATATGATATCAAAATTTTCAGCGCTAAAATTGATGTTTGTGTTAAGAGTAAATTGTAGAAAATCAAAAGTCACAAACGGATATGTGATTGAAACTCCTTTGAATGATTTCGAGAAGTTTTTTTTTAAAATCGCCAACAGCGTTTTGTTGTTAGATTTTATATTGAGAAATTTCAGCTTCGACCTATTATAAGTAATATAACTAGATAAGGTTTCCATGTATTCCTGAGAGAAAAACTTGCTGAAGCTGTCAGATTTGATTAGGTTTTTAGAAATCGGAAGTATGATGTACTTTAACTGAGAGATCTTAGAAATTATTTTGTTTGAAAAGTAGTCTACGTCGTCAAAAGTTGCTTGAAGTTTTTCTATAGTGTCTTCACAAATTTTTTGACATATTTCGTTGATAGAAACAAATGAGTTTCCAAAAACAAAATAGTTGCATATCAAAACTTTTGGATCGAAAATGTCGTCGCAGCGTAAATTCAAAAATAGAGAATAGTTTTTTCCTGATATGAAAAAATCAATGTTTGAGCAAATAGAAAGAACATTTTGTGCTTTGAAAAAACACGGATAAGTCATACTTGACCCTAACAAAAAGTTTTTTTCATTTTTCGAAACATTGACATAGACAGGATCAATGTAGTCGCAGAAAAACATGTAATTATCTGGGTCTTCCCCTTCAAAAACGTGTAAAGCTGTAGAGTAGAAATGGTTCAAACTTTTGTGCAGAAATATTAATTTCTGGGTACTAACAAATTCATTATTTAAATACAAATCAGTGGACGTACGTTGTATTACCTGGTCTTTTACGGCTTCAAGAAACGCGTTAAATTTATTTTCGTTCATTTTTCTCGTAAAAATCATTGTATGCAGCTTTGTGTATGGAATAACAAAGAAATGAGAGAAGTTAGGATGCAACAAAAAACAATTAGATAATTCGTCAATACCTGCCAAATGGAAATGATTGTTCTGAATCCATTCAGTCAAATTTAATGGTGAGTAAATTTTTTTTGGAAAAAGGCTGAATTTGAATTTATTGACTAAGAAGTTAGATGACTCTACCTGTTTTAACAAAGTAAAAAAACTAGTACGTCTCAAACTGTTTTCCTTATTCGCGGAGTATTTGTGTTCTTTGTATATTTTTATAAATCTCTGTAAATAGGTCTCATCTGACGAAATCGTTGAATTATCGTTTGCCTGAAATAATTCAGGGTGTCTAGGGTTGATTGTGAAATAATCAGTAAGTTTATTTGTGGACTTGAGATTTTTTTTATAATTAGTGACCCAAGCTGGTGGGCTGATAGAACAAGGGTTCTCATATCCCAGTAACACACATGGAATAATAATAAGCTTGAAGATTTGCGTACTAAGTCTTTCAAGATAGTAGTCCCAGTCCAAATAAAAAGAAAGCAGTTCGCTATGGTTTGTAACACAGGGTTTATTTGATGCGGAACCTAATATGTTTGTATAGACTCCATCAGTCCATTTGTTTAAGGTACGAGCGATTTTAGCGTCGTCAGTTAAAAAGAGCTCTACAGGTATCGCTCTGCTTACTCGTGGAGCGTGAATAGGGAAACTGACCAAAATAAAACTCGCCTTAATTCCTTTTTCATTAAGGTAAGAAGGATCGTCTCTTAATTCTGAAAGCTTGGTGATAGTAGAGACTGCAAAAGTTTTTAGTTTTGTAGATTCGGAAACAGGTTTGCTTACAGTTACGCTTTCAGTTAGTAAGTCTAAAACAATTTTTTTATAAGTACTGTTTCTGCCTTTGGACATTATAAACCGAATCCAGTTCTCTGCGACTTTAGCTAAATTGGAAAATATTTCTTCTTTGCAAGAACCAGATATATACATTGGAAAAATAGATTTTTGAAAAATTTTCAACATTTCAAGTTCTCCTCTGCGTTTAAGCTCAAATCCCTTCAACTCGACGATTTTATTCTTAAAGTCATAGACAACATAACGCTTTTTTAATTGCTTATCTGCTTTTTCGCTAGCTGGCAAAAACATCGCCTGATAAGGACCATCAATTTCAAAAAAAATGGAATTGACTTTTGTTCGAACAAACTTAGTCTTGTCAAAATAGTGGTAGTTGTGGTTAGTGAAATACTTGGCTGTTTCACTATTAAACATCGAACAAACATAACTGAATTTTAATTTTTCTTCTTTCAGTTCCACATCTGAAATGTCTTCAATATCGCCGTCATAATTTTTTTTACTGTAATACTTAACGGTAATACTGTAATCGGTTGGAAATATTTTAGGCAGTAATGTCCAGATTCCATCTGTGTCGAGCTCTAAAGGTAAACCTACACCCATACAAATATTCTTGGCCGTTTTAATGATATTTCCTCCAACATAAGTAACTAAAGCTGCCATTTCAATGCTATGCCAGCGAGCTGATCGTTTCATAACATAACCGTAGAAAGAATTTAACACACATTTATGAGCAAGCTGTAGGCTTTCATAAAGTATTACTAAATTTTCGTATTTTTTCTGCTCTTCAAGATCACATGTCTTTAATTTTTTTTCACTCTCTTTTTTAAGTTTTTTGTATATCATCCTACGGTCTCTAAATGCTCGAACCGTTTCTATATAAAAATCGTTAGATCGCTGACATACATTGGCTTCTAGTAATTCTTCATATTTTTTCTGACTTTTGTTTTTGTTTAACTGAGCGCTTAAAAATTTTAACTTTTGAACCTTGATTTCTTTTCGTTTTCGTACGGGTAAACTGTAATATGGGACTGTATTAGTGTCATTCTTTGTAAGTTTAGTTTCATCTTCAAATAACTGAGACTTTAAAGATTGCTCCACCTGTTCAACAATATGTCGTTCTAAATTAATCATACTACTTTTTCGAATCCAGTTCATTTTTTTTTTACAGTACTGCTGTTCGTCACTGTAGACGCATTTAGAGCATTTTTGATCATCTATTATAGCATAAGGTTGAAGTCTATTGGTGAGAATTATGTTTGGATACATAGCTCCTACGTCAAAGTGATAAATCAAAGGTTCCATGTCGAATTGTCGTAGCGACTTTAACAAATTTAGTTTTTCCGTTATTTCTACTTTGATACTATCCCAGTTTGTTGAAACAATATTGTTTGAAGGGTTAATTTCTTCTTGCAGAAACGTCATAAAAGTCAAATCCAATTCATCAATGAGTTTATCAATCACTTTAGGATCAATCGTAAAAGTTTCTTTAATATCATGTTTGAAAACACCAGTCCGCATCTGCTCTACAGAACCTCCTACATAAGTTTCATTAATTAAGTAATATTCGTCATCATACCAACTATCATCTGCGTCGTTAGTTTTGCATGGAATAACAACATTACTATTGACCGCCATTTTCATTAGTAACGTTTCACATAAACTTCCAGCTCCTTTTCGAAGAATATTATCAATATTCAATGGAATGATACTGGCAAGTGCTAATATAAAATTATGTATATATTTCTCGTACAAAGCAAACGTTACGACAGCATCTGACGCGTTATATTCAGCCATTGTCTGAGGTTTAGTTCTGCAATATTCAACCATAAGTTCTGGAGCGACTTCGCAACATTCATAATTCAATTTTATTCTTGATACAGCTTTTAAACCTCTGCTACCTTGAGGTAGATAACTGTCTCTTTTAACCCATTTTAAACAGTCTATATGAATGACAAAAGGACTCAAATAATGAATTAAACTTTTTTCAACAAGTGGCTTCTCAGAATACGGTTTATGCTCAGTAAATCCCCATTGGGCGCAAAGACTTAAGCCATTAACGGAACACCGTTGATCCAAATACGGGAAATCGAATACATCACCATTGTAGGATATTATGATATGAGGCTTACAGTAAATTCTAACATGTTCAAGAAAAAATGCAAGCATGCTCTTTTCGTCATTAAAGTTATACACCCTACAGTATTCATTCTTTTCAAAATAAAAATTGTCAATGTTTTCAGAATAAAATTCTCTGTTGACTAGAAGAAATAATCCTTTGTAACATTTATACGCAATTGACATGATAGGATCCTTACTCGCATCTGGAAACAACAAAGGTTTTTTAAATGTTTCAATATCCCAAGACAAAAACTCAAGGTTAGGAACGGTTGTATCTAAATCAGCATTATGTTTGATAGATGGAAAGAAACTGTTTATCAAGTTTAAATATTCAGGCGCATCTAATGCAATAAAATTATTAATTAATTGCTTCGATTCTATTTTATACCATCTGGCTGTTAACATATTATTGGTAATCATATGTTTTGTAGAATGCTCTATATCATGTTCGGAGATATCTGAAAAAAGTAGTAAAGGGTTGTTATTTAATTCAGCTGTAATATCTTTCTCTAGTAGGTTTCCTGCTTGAAGTTGTAATCTAGACAATCTATTTTTTTCAATAATAACATTTCTGTGAAGCTTTAGCAAAATAGACCTAATTATATTGTAATTTTCAACGTTAGTCGTTGAAACTTTGATGAAAATTCGTGATTTATAAGGTGTTTGCTCATTTTTCTGGAAAATTTCATATTTTCCTAGCATTTGATGGTTTACATACGATAAGTTGAACGAAGTTATTGATTTTTGCAAGTGCATTTCAAGTGCATTGTAAAATAAACTTTGAAATTCGTCGTTTACTTTTATCGAACAAAATTCACTTGTATAGTTGACTAGAAAAGAATAATTATATAAACAAGGTACCTTGATGATTTTTTTAACTTGTTCGTTCCAAAAATAACAACTAAACCCATCAATCGTGTCACTTCCTAAATTGTATTTATCCTCTACAAGTGCTAATAGAAATCCATTCATTCCAGAATGAGAATTTGTCCATTCTCTTATACCCCATAATTTGTCCAAGGGTGAAAGTAAATCCATTTATTCAAGCTATTAGTATATAACAAAAGTTATTTTAAACCTCTAATGATATATTAATAAATGTTTTCATTATAACTCGCATTTAAACTTAATTGCCCAGTTTAAACTGAAGTTTAATAGTATTATAAGAAAAAATTTCTTGGAAATAATTTTATCCGTAGCAGGCAAAATAATTATTTCAGTGTTTACACTACATAAATGAATTTATATTTATATATCTAATAAAACACTCAGTTTAGTCAAATCAAAGTTACAATTGATTTGGTGTCTGGTGATTGCTTTAACTTCACATTCTACACCATGGTTTTCTGATGAAAAGATATCTCCTAAAGCTGCGTAACAAACTTCATATTTTTTTTTCTTAAAATTTATTGCTGCAGATAATATTATTAAATCCTTTAATATAAAATTATGATCAAAATACAGGTTTAACAATGAGTCTAAAAATTTAAATATAAAGTCTTGACCGTTTGTATTGCTAGACACAGATTTGGTAAACCCAATATTGTTCACAAGATTTTTTTCGTTACATTGGACACGTGCCAGTGCCACACCCAAGCTAGCTAAGCTTTGTTTCGTCGAAGAGGAGTCGGCACAAATTATAACATCTGCTGTATGATTTATGTAATTGTATTTATATAAAACTGTTTTTGGAAATTCAAAATTTTCAACAGTATTTTTATATAACTCATCTTCGTGATACCATTTTATATGGCAAGGAATATAAAATTCTCGGTTTATCGTAATCATCAAACAGATATTAGTGCTAAATTTATATTTAAACCGTAAAAAAAAATTATCTATTAATATCCATTTATTTGGGTTTTCGAAATTACTCTGGCTTTAGCTTCTGTTATACACGAATCAGAGTTAGAAAGTGCTGCTTCATTTTTTTTGTAGCTATTGACATAATTTTGGAATTTTTTCTGTGACAATTTGAGTAATTGACTTGTTTTATATTCATAGCAATATGTGATGCTTTTTTGAGAAATTTCACTGCATTTTGAATTTTCAAGTAAAAGTTTTCGTGTTTCCTTATCAATCAAGCATGAATACATAAAGTAAAGCTGTTGAATCTTTCTCCACAAGCGAATCACAAATGTAGGTTCATTAATTTTTGGTGAAATATATTTATGTAAGTTCGCTACTACAAATTGTGGTTCAGTGTAACCATAAATACTTTTTATGTTGTCGAGTTCAATTTTTCGTTGTAACGATAATAATTGCCTCGATTTCATTCGGTATATGTTATATTTCTAACATCAAAAATTTGTTTGGGTACATAATATAAGGTCGAGTTATCGTAATGTGTTAAACACATTTTAAAATTTTGAAATTATATTAGTTAAGTTTCATTAGAAATTGAACAATATAATTCTCGCTCTTGAAAAGGTAGTTCTCGTGTATTTTGGCAAGCAATAACTTTCCATGACTCAAAAGTTCGTAATTTTTGTTTCCATTCTGAAACAACAAAGACAGAGTTTTTATTTTGCTCACTATTTAACTTTGATCTGACTAATACAATTGTTTTTAATTTTCTAATGGATCGTGGGCTTCCTTCAGCAAAAATAAGATGGTAGCTACCATCTGAAGCCGTGATAAATCTTCCAGTTGAATGGTAATTATTTATTGCCTTAGTTAACGTGTTTATAAATTTTCGGTCTAACGGACTCGTTATTTTAAACATAATGCCACAATAGTGATCATCGATATTTTTCCAAAAATTGATTTTCTTTTTGCGAGCATTTTCAACGGTTAATTGGCGCTTTTTATTAGCTTCATTATGAATGCGTAATCTTTCTTGGATTTTTTGACGTAATTCTTTTTCTGTCAACGTGCTTGTAGCAAGCTGCATGGCGTTTATAATATTTGATAAATTTTTCTTCCTTATTCGTTCCGGTTTTGGCGCCAAAGCGCCAATAATAATTTTGTCTTTTTGCTGTTGCAAACCAAGCTTTTTATTATTTATACGATGTGACCTTGCTTGTTTATTTGATAAAAACTTCACATCTCTGATTGTATGGGTTTTCAAATCACATTTGATAGGGTATTCAATCAATCCGACTGTTGAATATTTATCGGACGCTGTCCACCAAGGTGGGGTATCAGTGTTATCTGCGGAGTTTTTTTTTTTTCTGCTCGAGTTTACATTAAAAACAGTATACTTTGGTAGTTTAACAGTCATGGGGAGCTTGACATGTCGAAGCTTATTCTTGCTTGAAAAATATCCTGGCGTAATAAACTTAAATTTGGTGGAGATCTTTTTGGCGCTATGAAGTTTGCTGTCGAAATATTTTTTTCTCTCATCACTGTTTGTATTAGCGGAACTTTTCGAGTTATATAAATACACATATTCGGATTTCTTAGTTTTCTCAAGTTTTGACTTTAACTTTTGCATCATAGACTTCATGCTGTCTAGTTCATTTGAGTTTAACGGAGTCATGATGAAAGTTCAATTGATTTATAAAGCACACTGCCCTACAGAAGTCGTTGACACTTATTTTGTGTTTTTATATTAATTATTAGCAGAGTTCGAGACTTCCTCCTAAAAAGTCAAATATTATTTCTAATTTTAGAATAGTCACTAGCGACAGAAAATAATTTGCATTAGTTTATGTACGAAGAGTAGGCTTATAGTTCTTAGTTACAAAATTTTTTAAGCTCTTTTATGTCTCAATTTCTTTTTGACAACTCACTTGACGATACTTTATTTTCCTTCGATTCAGCTGCAAAAAATTTTGTGGTAAACGAATCTGATGAAGAAAATGAGATTGGTTATGGTATCGACGACTACATTAGCGAAGCCGAAAAATCAGAAAGTGTTGAAAATGAAAAGAATTTCGTTAAAGATGTAAAAGATAATATGTCCAATTTATCTCCTCAGCAAAAGCAGTATATTGGCAAGTTGCTTTCTTACGCCAGCATGCTGATTTCCTATGCGAATACATCTAGTATTTCTCTCAACACGCAGATTATCGAAACTTCGCTAAACAATATGAATAATATATATGAAAACGGTATAACAGAATACGTCCCAGTTGAAAATCAAAGATTAGCTCAAGAATTTTTACTTGATCCAAAATTGAATTTTGTAAATACCTTTTTAGCTTCTATCTGTAACACAGCATTGAATATAAAATCTTACATTTTAATATTTGAAACGCTATTATTGATAGACAAACTAGTCAGACCTTTAGACGTAGAAGCTTATCTAAATTCGAACAAAGTATTAATACAGAACGAGATTTCAAATTTAAAATCGACATTACTTTATTCGAGCTTCATGACATTTTTAATGGTATGTTACAACTTTTTAATAGAAGTGTCCGATAACGATTGTATGTCGAAATCTGAAATTAAAGAGTATAATTATGTCGCTGCCGTAGCTCAAAAACTGTCTAACGAAGATTCAAATCTGTTTAACAACGGTGTTGGTTCAAAGGAACTTTTGAAAATTTTAAATCTCGATATTGATTTAAAACTTGTTGAAGCTGACCCATCTATCTTAAACACATTAGTCTCTGAATATTTGACTATTTGTAAGAATAAGAAAAAAAGCAATAAGGTCTTAATTGACGATGTTAGTTTGGCTTTGCGCAGAACCATTGAAAACTTGTTTTTAGTTGGTTCGAGTAACGATAAAACTTTTTGTAAACTGTTTTTTTCGAATAGAGTAAACAAAATAATAGATAAAGACTTATACCACTTATTAGATGTTAATCATACGCTTGGCTTTAATAGAAACGAGCTTTTAAAAAACCAATACAACATACAAGTTGGTAGCATTAATAGTTTATGCCAGCAATATTTGAATATTTTACATTCTTGTTTGAATACTATTACTACAAAAAATTTTGCTTATGTATTGAAAGATGTATTACGTCAAGTTGATGGTATAGCAGACACTAATTTTTTACAAGAAAGTCAATATTCAATAATAGACTTTAAACAATCTCACAATGGATCGTCGCAACTATCAAATATTTTAAATAAATCTTGTTTAGGTCTTCAGTTGAAGATCAATTTCAATCCCAACGAAAAACACCTAAGTCTTCTAGCACCCCAAACAGGAGAAACTAAAAGATATAGAAAAGCTTCGATAAATGTGCCAAAACTAAATATTTTCGAGAAAATCGCAGCAACGAATCTGTATTTAGCTAATGATATAATATATTATGTATGTAATGAAGATGCAAATAATATTTTAAAAATTGATTCTCCAGGAAATCTTCCTGATATCAATTTCTTAAAATCTTTAGTTTATCTATTTGAAAAAGGTTATTACGAAAAAATAATTGCAATGTGTTTAACTCAACAAACGGAAAATGTTCTAATTTCTAATCTTACGTTTTTAGTTAGATTGATTGATATACAAAATTATTTTCTTGTTGCTTTTGGACTAGTAATAACTCAGCTTCAGCATGAAAGCAAGACATTAGGTGAAGTGAATGGTCAAATAATTATTAAGCTTTGTTACTGGTCTAGAACATGTTTAGGTTCTAAGTTGAATTCGGTTTTAACAACTTTTATTAATCTTGAGATGCGTAAGTCAAGCAAAGATGTTTATCGTACGTTTATTCGAGCATACATAAGAAACAAGTTATTGGTATCTAAATGGGTTAACATGCTTAAATTGTCCAGTAATTCTGTGTTGCTTCAATTATCGCGAAGATTAGCATACGATCTTTGTCATCGAAGTTTTTTATGCATTGTTAGAAAAATAGCCAAAAAATTTATAAACTCGAATAATGAGTCAGAATTGTTTGATTACCTCATAATTTTAGCATCTATTAATAAAATCCAATTGTCAGCTCAGTTTTACGAAAAACTTTTGATAGAATTTCTAAGAATCATCAGATACGTCAACACGGAAAGCTCTTCTTCTATGATCAACAATCATAATATTAATGTGGTAACAAAAAAATATGTCAACAATGAGATAATCCAACTTTTTTTACTTCTTGATACTGCCACACAATATGAATATTTTGTGAGCATCAAAAACCTACCAGTTATCAAAGCAATAATAGAGTCTAACTCAGTCGCAATAAATCCCGTCAAAAGTCTCTTAGTAGCTTCAATTAAAAGTTTTTATCAAGCTCTCAAAGAAAACAGTTTTGTAATAATTTCAGTTCTTTTTTCAGATTATAACAGCAGAAACTCGGAATATAAGCTACTATCTGAATTGTTTCATCAAAATAAAGGCAAAGAAGAAAATAAATTGTTGGCAGCTTTGTCTGAAATTAGTAAATCTGTATTACTTAAGAAACATATTATCGATCCTATTAAATTAGGATTGGTAACAAGCATAAATGCTACAATTGTTTCAGATTTTGTTAATTGGTGTTCGACCGGAAAATTCGAACACAACAAAAAGTTAAACATCATCTCTCTTTCATCAGAATTGGTGAATTTGATCACACGGTTAGAGTCTGATATGGAACAGTCGATCAACGACACACTTATAAGTCTATTGATTCAGAATTTAGCACCAGATATTAAAATCCTACTAGTAGATTTTGCTCTTCAACTGCAAGAAATTGTAAATAAAAGAATTGACAACATTTCAGATGAAAGCGCGAACGCAACATTAACTAATTTGTCTGAACTGTATCGCATTAATGAATTTCATTTTATCTCTTATATTTGCTTCTGTGAATTATTAAATGAAGATGAAAAAGATCAAATTTCAGCGGTAATTCACACCAAAGCCCCGTTAGGTTTACTATACTTTAGAGCTAGAATAATTCAATATGCTTGTAATTGTTCGAATGACGAGTTGCTAAGTTTAATTGAACGGTCCTTCAAGCGAATTGACGTCACATATTCAATCGAGATTTCAACTTTAGTTTCGCTTCTAGAACTTATTAAAACTATTTTACAAGAAGAAGAGACATCAAATTACAACTTTCTTTTCAGTATTTTTGAATGTTTACTAAAATATACCAAAGGCCTATACGATTTGTCTATCGAATTCAAGCATGAAGGTAAAAACAATAATGAAGAATCAAGTTTTTTGAACCAGATTCACGAGCAAATAATACAGACTGGATCATTTGACGTTTGCATTACTCCACCATATGACAATAACAATTCGTGTAATATAGTTTCACTGCCTAATCATAAATGCGTTGATTACGTTAAAAAACTAGCTTTTCTTTTAACTGGCACGTTTATCAGCAGCTCTGAAAGTAAAGCTGATATTGACTTTGTTGTAAACTGGAAAGCGAATAATAAATCGAAATATAAAATAAAGATGTATATAGTTTATTTGTCTTTTGTTACTCTTGTTTATAAAAATCAAGTAAGAGATCTTGATGTGTTGATCAATTCGATCAGTTTATGCCAGAGCAAAGATGAAATATCTCATATAATGACTTCCTGGTATGATGATTCAATAATATTAGACCTGAAAGAATTATTTAAAAATGATATTAACGATCCTATTTTTTTTCTACAAAGGTAAAAATGTTTAGTTTTGACGTTTATGTTTCAACCATAATAATTAATATTAAACACACTCAGAATTTTATTTTGCTGCAGATAATAATTTCATTGATTAAAAATGAATATTTACGTACGATCAGTGATTAAAAATATAATTCCATTTACTGTTTCGCCAGATACAAAGGTTAAAGATTTCAGAGAAACATTATCGGTAAGCGCTACTCATATAAAGTCTGTAGAAACTCGAAAACGTTGAAAATTCGCAGTTTAAGCTGATGTTTTCTGGCAAACAGTTAGACGATGATCAAACATTCGCACAACAAAATGTTACAGAGAATAGTAATTTACATTTTGTCATAATGTTACGTGGAGGTTAATTAAAAGAATAATTAATCGTTATTATATAAATTTAATATCAATTAGATGTTATTAGATTAAACAAATTCAATGATCGATTTTATTTTTTTGATAAACAAGTTAGGACTGACCCGTTTAAGCATTTATTACGGAGAACTGCAGAATTTGTCGACAGCGGAAAAAAATTCTCTTGAGCTGAATTGTTCAAGAAGTTGTTTAAAGAGAAAAAACAACGATAGTAATTTTTTGGTTATTCACAATCAAAAAATAGTATTTAAGCGTTTTGCTTCGTTGTTTATAATAGTAGGAATCGATCAAAACGAGTCTGTAGGTTATTTCGAAAAATAACTATAGAATTATTTATTAATTTTGGAGTTGATTCAATCAATTATTGAATGTTTGAATTTATATTTTCAAGGTGTCGTAAGTTTATACGTAAACTATTATTTGCAGAGCGAAATCGAAATAATGAAAAATATTGATGTTGTCTACGCGATCATAAAGCAGTATATATCTAATCGTCAGATAGTTAACATAAGCAAAGTGGACATCGCGTCTGTAATAAAACAAATAGCCACAAAGACATGATTAACTTTCTTCATCACTGGACACTTCTTCTTTATGAAATTGACAGCAAACTAACACGGATGTTAAAAGTTGTTAACTTACTTTTAGATTTTTTTTTATTTAAATGCTCATTATCTATTACGTCGTCTTTAAAGATTACGTACTTATTAGCAACAGTTTGTGTCTCAGATAGTTCTGTTTCTAAATTGGCTTCTCGATCAGACGGAGATTCAATTTCGTCATCACTTGGAATTTTTAATTTTATGGCGTACGTTTTTTCACAAGTTTTTACTATAGTCTGCATCTTATGTTTAATTTTCAGAAAATATAACTAGGAAGAAATAATTAAGGCAAATCAGGAGAATAATTCACTCAACGCAAAAAATAATTTTATCCGGCATTAATAATATTATTAAATGTATAGTTGTTTGAACGCCATAATTTAATTATCTACCAGCATAATAAATATAGCGTTGGGTTTTCTGAATAGTCCTTAACCATTGTTTTTCAAGGTTAATAAAATTTCAACTCAGAATTCCTCCGAAATAATATGGTATGTCTGCCTATACTCGATATTTTTTAGTATAGTTTCGTAGAAAACTATTTTAGTTCAAGAAGATCGAGTCGATCAAATGACAACAACAACTACAGGGATCGCTCTTCAATAGAACAGCGGGTGATCATTTTTGAACAATATTACGAATGTTACAGTAGTGCTTTTATTTTTAGAGACGATTTAGAATTGACTAATCGGATAATATTACCTATTTCAGCTTTGACTAGACTCACCATGCTTGAAGTAACCATGCCAATGGTGTTTAAAGTTGTTAATCCAGAAACAAGCCAATTCACACATTGTGGAGTTTTGGAATTTAGCGCAGATGAAAATAGGTGTTACATGCCGTTATGGGTTATGAAGAATTTATTGTTGCGCGATGGTCAAACCTTATTGATAAAAAACGTTGTTTTACAAAAAGGTACAAAAATCAAACTACAGTCATCAACAACTACTTTCATCACAAATATTTATGATCCTAAAGAAGCTTTAGAGCAATGCTTGAAAAACTTCAGTTGTTTAACAAAAGGAGACATTTTTGATCTTCATGCGTATGGTGAGAAGTATGAAATAGAAGTGCTGGAATGCGAGCCTGAAGATGCAATTTTGGTAATTAATGCAGACATAGAAGTAGATTTTGAAGCGCCAAAAGATTACGTTGACGAGTCTGTCAGTTCGACTTCAACGAAAAAAACAGAAGTTGCACAAAGTTACGAAAAACTCTCCGAAAATGAATGGCGAAATAGAATTCCAAACGGTGTCATAACATATTGTTCTAGCTTCAAAAAAATAAATGAAACTAAACGTCCTAATATCCCAGACAAGATAGAAACGTTGGATTATTTTACTGTATAAATTTATCAATCTAATTTGACACTGTATGCGTGTAATCAATATATATACGTTTATTCTTGTAACAATATTTAAATCATCTCCTAAAAATAATAATAAAACTTTATTTGAATTGAAGCAAAGACAATTTTTATAAAAAGCACATCTACGTTACATATTTGGCTAGATCAGGGTTGTTTTTCGACAACTCGACATGATCTCTGATCTCAAGCTTGACTTTACATGTGCGACAATTTTCAAACAAACTATCACTACCAGTAGCAAAATGAGTTTTTTCTTTAGTTGACGCTTCGTCTGGAATATATTTAATCCAAACGTCTGTTTTATCGTCAGCGCTTCTAAACATTATTTGTCGGCCTTCATCCTTAGGACAATATGCGACGATTTTATCAAAAAAATCAGGAGTTGGCTCACCATAGGCCAAAAGATCCCATGATTCTGAACCAAGCTGGAATATCATCCACTTAATACGTTTTCTTCCTCCTAAATCATTGGTTATTAGTTGCTTTTCAAGCATTTCAATGGCTTTAGGCTCAACCTTAAACTTTATTCTTGGTCCCATTATTACTTATTATCTTTCCAAAAATTTAAAGGTGTATAAAATTGATTGTGCGATTATAACTCAATGCGCATGTATAAAATTTCATAATAAAAAATGAAACACTTTTTATTTAAAAGAATAATATTAATTTATACGATGCAGTGGTTTTTAAATTAAACTTATTGTCATCTCCAGTTCATTAGTTAAATCTTTCATTTTTATATTTTTTATAGTTAATTAGATTAGGTATAATAGAAAAATATTCAGGCTAAAAAAAATTTCCAAACTCACTATATTGTGTTATTTGCATAATAGTAGTTTTATAAGAATGGAAAGACACTAATTAACGTATGCATCCAATTATAAAATAAATATATTTTTTTAATCTGTTTTGTAGATATTTTCTGAATTTAGTATGACTCAACAAGAAAATTCAACTGAAGCAGATATTCAACTAAATATTTTGTTACATTGTAGTAATTTAAAGAGTACGATTAATAAGATAAACAAATTTATTAACTCGGAAGCTAGTTCAGTCCCGTTTCCTTTAATCAAGCTCATTGAAGAACTTAACCAGAACGTAAAAATAGTAATGGATAATGGAAAAAAAGTAGATTCATTTAAAAAAAAATCCAAATCTAAACCAAACGCCCATAGAAATATAAAAAGCATCATTGTTTCTAATGCGAATGCAGCGAACAAACTATGGAAACAGCCTGAAAATCGCATTTCTGAAAAATTATTATATATACCAATGAAGGAAAAATTTGTTAAATATTCAGCAAAAAAACCGACAATCTCTACAATTGAGATTGATGACTTCTCTGCTAGTCACACTAATGACAACTCTAAAAATAAAAGTGAAGAAAACGAGAATGTCGTCATAGAAGAAATAGCTTATGCAATTCGTAGCAAATTAAGAAATGCCTGGGTTGCTCAAGAAGTTGCAGATCTGTATGATTTAGCGAAACAATATGGGCTTAGCTACGAGGGTAACATGTGTTTATGTAAATTAGAAAAACTACAAAACCCAACCGTTAATATATGACCAATGCAATTTACATTGCAGTGTTCATGAGTTTATATTAAGCTTCAACGACAAGTTATACAAATTTTATATTAATAGAATGTTTTACAACTTAATCAAATAAATTAATTTTTCTCATATTATAAATAAAAATCCGAAAATAATATTAAATCAACACAAAACAGATCAAAATTATTCTAAATTATTTGTAACATCATGTGTGCGAACAAGAATTAAAAAAGATCACGCTTAATTTATAATTCACTAATTAATATGATCGTCCAGGCTCGAGTTACTTCACATTCCGTAGAAAGACGTAATATAATGAAAGGGAACTTCAAAGCAAGAGATCAAAAGGCACAATCAAATGGTTACGTAAATATTTCACAATCGATACCTGCAGTTGTGTCTCATTTTGAAAGACCTTTAGTATTTACTGATACTAACTTCAACTGGTCTAGACTCAATATTTTTCGCACAAAATTTTGCGAACGATTAAGTATGTCTAATGAATGTAAGATGATCGCACGATGCATGTTTAGCCACGAGCCAAAATTGCTTCGCAGAACTCCATTTTTACCAAGATCTAATTCATTAACACTTCGCTACATACCAGTTTGGTGTCCAAGAATTAAAGCCCCAAACTGGACAGCGATCTGTGATCAGTACGGAAAAGTAATGTTTGTTGACAAACAGAATTCCCAGATCAATAATTACAACGACCAAATCTTGAACAACAACGTTCGTAAAATGGATGAAAGTCATGATTGTCCTCGAGGAGAGAATTGTCCATTCGTTCACGCAGTTGACGAAATGTTGTATCATCCCAACATATACAAAACTCGACTATGCTTAAGTTACACAACTTCAGGAGATAACATGCAGGAAAGTGCTTGTCCATGGTACTTTTGCGCTTTTGCTCATGGGTATTCGGAACTTCGAAAACTGTCGAACCAAATTGAATCGGCATACCCATGGACATTACCTCCTCAGTTATTAAACGATTGTTACGTTGTTCACACACAAGGATTTGATGAATTCGAATTAAACATCATAGATGAATTTAAACGAAAATATAAATCACAAATAGGTGTAACTGTCATAAGAAATGCATTTCATCCTGTATTACGCGTGTTGCCAAATAACAAGTTGTTTAAAATGATTCCACTTCCTGGTCACCGTGCAATATCCACTGATAAAGTATTATACACCATGGCTCAAGCAGCCATACTTTCTTTACGTTTATATAATGTAGAAGAATATCATACACCTACAATATTATCATTTCAATGTGCTCTACTGCAAAATTATTTTAATTTACTCAGTTTTAAAGAAATTGAATGCGGTAAATTAATAGAGCTGTACACTGAAAAATTCATTTATTCCAAGTTTCCATTTGACGACCAATATGATTCTGTAACTCCAAATGAAATTTCAGAATCATCATCACCAATAAATCACAATTACAGTTGTAAACTTGATGATATTTTGGACAATCTGGAAAGCGGAAATAACATTGATTTCCTAGGGATGCTCGAAGGAATAGACTCTTTCTGTTAACAAGGTTCAATGCTTCAATTAACAAAAAAACTTAAGCTTATCACAATGCTCAAAATATTACAGATAAGATTATATTTAGTTCATATAACGCTTAAAAAATAATCATGACCATATTATATCATATCAATCTAATTATTAGATAGTTTATAAATTATGAAATTAATAATTCCAAAATAGAATATTAGTTCTGGTATAATTACTACTAATTACTTCCTAGTACACAAAATAACTATGATAACTCATATTACAAAGACGCCCATATCAAATACACTTTTAGTTTTAATAATAGAATATATGTTTAGAAAAAAAAAAACATTTTTAAGGCCAGCCCTGCGCAAACAAAATCGAACCTGATTTTTAAATAGGTGAATAGTAATTAAATTACTGCAGTAAGACATAATATACTAGACCATATGAAAAAAAAACTCCAACTAAAATATCTTAGTAATATTATTAATATTTAACGGTATAATGACTATATAGACTTATAGTTTAATTTTTTTCCATATTATAATATTATATATAATTCATTGGTTACGATTTATATCCGTTAAAAAATCGACTTACATGATTCAATAGTAATTATCTATGTCTGATAACACCCCCGCCAATGACAATAACGTGATATTAACGTCTGACAATATACAAGACCTTGTAAACACTACAATGATCGAAATCCCAGGACAAATACCACAGGTTGATTATATTATTGAATGTTTAGGAGGGGTTGAAAAAGTTAGAGATGCTATGTCCAGAAATACACCAGAGTCGATCGCGTTAACATTCGATCCTGACGATCCATTATCGTCATGTGTTTTTTCAAAGAGAAAACCTTGTTTTGGCTTAGTAATTCATAGGTCCGTGGTAAATGGAGAAACTGTTTATTCCTGTGTTACTATTTGCACTCAAATCCACACTTTTTTACATATGGCAGACTATCACAACAGTATAAATTATATATATAGATATCCCGTAGACATATTTGGCGAAATATGCAGGAAAGCATCTAAGCAAGCCATGTGCAATTTGAAAACACTCGATATGATTCCTCCATCTAATTATTCACGGCAACTCAAACCGTACAAGAAACAAACCGTTTCTAATTACTTTGCAATGAAAAAAAACAAAAATGATATAGACGAAGCGGATCTTATTGCGGATCTCGAGCATCTCTTTGTTCCTGAAAACGACGATAATATCAATATAAACACTTTTCAAGACTTGTTGATCAACGACCCAAATAATGAGTCTGTCACAATGAATTTAACTTGTAGCAACACGTGCCAAAACGTGTATAATGAATGTAGTGAAGCAGTTAAAAACATCAAGCTTTTAAAACATGAGCAGGAGAGTCATGACAAAATAAAAAAAGCTTTCGATGATAAACCTATATGGTTACGTAACAGTCTGCTAGAATATGTAAGTTAGCAACGCAAAATTTATTATAGACAAATCTTCAAACTATTAAAAAAACTCTACTTAAAAAAATTTTGGCAAAGCTGGCTTTCACTTGGACAAATGGGCCATGGAGAACAGCACTGTGTAAGCTTGGCTATGATCCTCGCAAGCACTCTGAAGCACGGATATATCAAATCATCGATTTCAGAGATCCATATTTCAGATCAATTAATTACAAACTTAAAATCAAAAACAACGAAACATTGGATAAAAATAAAAAAATTGATTTCCAATTCTTAACTCCGCCGTCTAAACATTCTATATTGTATCAGTTATGTGAGTTAGAAATCCCATTAGTGAAAAGACTAATTTCAATAACAAATCCGACAGCACATTTTTCTCCAGAAAATGGCTGGTTTGACGAATCAATTTTAGACACGATACGAGATCTAATGATTCAGACAAGTCAAGAATTGA